CAGCCCTGCAAGCAAGGCAAAATATATATATTGACCTTATTTTGTGCTGGGCTCCGTGAGGAAAAGGCACTTTCATCTCAGAGGTTGGCTTCATTCAGTGAGGGTTAGAATATGGGCTAGGTTTCTTAGATATGGAAAAATAAGATTTAGAATGGATTTTTTTTTGGGGGGGGGTCATCCTAAGGTTAAATATGTATTTTAAGACGGTATCTCCGGCACGGCTTTGGATCCATGTTGCAGCACGAATAGAGGTGCTGGTGTAGACTGCTGGGTCATGCTAGTATGCCAGTAGACTGCTGGGTCATGCTAGTATGCCAGTAGACTGCTGGGTCATGCTAGTATGCCAGTAGACTGCTGGGTCATGCTAGTATGCCAGTAGACTGCTGGGTCATGCTAGTATGCCAGTAGACTTCTGGGTCATGCCAGTATGCCAGTAGACTGCTGGGTCATGCTAGTATGCCAGTAGACTGCTGGGTCATGCTAGTATGCCAGTAGACTGCTGGGTCATGCTAGTATGCCAGTAGACTGCTGGGTCATGCTAGTATGCCAGTAGACTGCTGGGTCATGCTAGTATGCCAGTAGACTGCTGGGTCATGCTAGTATGCCAGTAGACTGCTGGGTCATGCTAGTATGCCAGTAGACTGCTGGGTCATGCCAGTATGCCAGTAGACTGCTGGGTCATGCCAGTATGCCAGTAGACTGCTGGGTCATGCCAGTATGCCAGTAGACTGCTGGGTCATGCCAGTATGCCAGTAGACTGCTGGTGCACTGTAAAATAAATCTGACGTGGATTCAATGTTCAGTTGTGAAGCAATCCACTACATGAGAACTGTGACTTTGCAGCCTTTTTGCAGCCCGGCTGCCGTCCAATTATACGTTGATAGAACCTCAATGACATTTTGTTCAGCCAACGTCCAGTGCTATTGCAGCTGGCCACCTTACCGTTGGAAGTTAAACCAATCTCTGGAAGTTAAACCAATCTGGTGACTAGCGTAGGGCTGTGTCAGTTCTCAGGGAATCTGAGTGAGAGGAGTAAGAATTATCAACAATTGAAACTTTTAATCATCTGCAACTTGAGAATGAGAACGACTGTTTTGAATGTTTGTTGAAACTGGACCGGAACTGCCTTCTCAGTAGACCGGAGAAAAGGTCCTGCATCTAACCGATTGGATTTTTTTTGGGGAAAATGACTGAATACAATTTATGTTTTGTGTAGCATACAGTTAATCAACCAGTCATGTTCAGGCAAAAACAAGGATATTAAAACAAGCAACTCTGAAACTGAATCTGCAATCGAGCATACTAGGAAATAAAGGGTGTGTTTTTGAGCCAATATTCAATAACTAGATGTTTCTGGGTCACTTAGAAATGTCCATGTTTAAAACATACATCAAACGAATTTGAATAGGAAACATGGCGAAATGAATAGGGAATGCAAGTCATTGCCATGGTTAGAAAAATAATTGTGTCATTCAGGCTTTGATTTCGTCAATGAATACTCGAAATTTGCATCAATTACAACCTTGCAGATGTATATCATTCTGGTTGCCATTTCTTTTAGGTCATCTGAAGAGAAAATGGAGTGATACCTTATATTTAAGGTCCCCTTTACCCTGTACAAATATCTCACTATACCACCACCAGAGGGGACCATCACATTGTCTCTCCACCTGGCTTGACAAATGGTGTCATGCGCTCCTCCACAGTCTCTTTATTTGGTCTGCGTCTCACGAATGTTCTTTGTTTTCCGATCACTAGAAACTTAGATTAGGCTGTCAAAAACACATTTTTTTTCTTCACTTTTTATATTTCTTCGTCCAGTGTCTGTGTTTTTTCACCCATCTTGATCTTTTCTTTTAACTGGGCAGTCTGAGATGCCTTTTTCTTTGGAACTCTGCCCAGAAGGCCAGCATCTTGGAATCGTCTCTTGACTCTTGACGTTAAGACTGGTGTTGTTCTTTGTATTATTTATTGAAAATCCCATTCAATGACCTGCGAGGCGTCTATTTCTTAAACTAGACACTTTTATGTAGTTGTCCTCTTGCTCTGTTGTGCACTGGGGCCTCCCACTCCTCTTTCTACTTTGGTTAGAACGAGTTTGAGCTTTTCTCTGAAGGGAATAGTAGACAGCACTGTATGCAATTTCTCGCATGAAAAGCCTCCATTTCTAAGAACAAGCATATACAGACATGTTTTAGAAGAGAGTTCTTTGGTAATTTCAAGCCTGTAATTGAACCCTCAACTGTAGATTCCCCAGGTTCTCTCTTTTGAACTGTAGTGCACAATGGTCAATTTACACAATAGTCTTGCTTATATACTGCTCTTTTTTGTCCAGGGAAGGTTTGAGTTTTCCTGACATTTGTCCGCATAGCTGAACCCCAAAAGTGTTGCCTTTTCAAGGGCATCTTATCATCTGTTATTTAAAAAAATGAAATTATTGTATTTAAGTTCATTCGGCTAACAAAAACAACTGGTCAATCTTTGTTATAACAGTGTGTTATACGTAAGGTAATAGGTCCTGTCTAACCATAGAGCACAGTCAGCACAGTCCGGGGCCGGGAGCATTGTCAGCACAGTCTGGGGCCGGGAGCATCGTCAGCACAGTCCGGGAGCACCGTCAGCACAGTCCGGGGGCCGGGAGCATTGTCAGCACAGTCTGGGGCCGGGAGCACCGTCAGCACAGTCCGGGAGACTGTTGTGGAAAATATACATTTAGTTTGTGAAGTTCAGTAATAGTGAGATTAAACGTATATTCACATGTGATATGGACATCATTGAGTGGGCCCAAAACGTTAAGAACGGAAAGCACGAGACCCTGGAGAACAGGATCTACGAGAAGCTTTACATTGTTAGAGGGGCCCAATGCTAGAAACAGATGTCCTGTTTTGCCTAATTTGTGATGAACTGTCAAAAGGAAATGTATATGTCTTTGTTCGCCTCATGTGTTGTCATCACAAATCGAATTGTGACTGACCTCCCTTGACCTGACTGAGGAGTGACCCTCGGGTTTTTGTGACAGCTCCATACATTTCCTATATTACTGTATATTTTAATTAGATCATGTGTAAGCCTCATCCGTTCTCCATCCGGTATTGATAAGTTTGTGTGGAAGGGTGTGCGTAAATTTACCCCTATATATATATGGCATTGTACTCCTGTACAGTAGGAAAAATTATACCTGACACTACAGTTTGCCGTATGTGTGTCAAAGGGTTTTTCCTCATCTATCAATTAAACTGTTAGAGTTAACTTGAGAGATACTCTTGTCTGTTCTTATTTCGAGTCTGGTTTCGGTGTGTATTTGCTTAATGTTATTTTAGAGATAAAGGTATAGTAACATTAATTACGTGGTATTAGAAATAATTCCATAACAAGACCGTCAGCACAGTCCGGGGCCGGGAGCATCGTCAGCACAGTCCGGGGGCGGGAGCATCGTCAGCACAGTCCGGGAGCACCGTCAGCACAGTCCAGGGCCGGGAGCATCGTCAGCAGAGTCCGGGGCCGGGAGCATCGTCAGCACAGTCCGGGAGCACCGTCAGCACAGTCCGGGGCCGGGAGCATCGTCAGTACAGTCCGGGAGCACAGTCCGGGGTCGGGAGCATCGTCACCACAGTCCGGGAGCACCGTCAGCACTGTCCGGGACCGGGAGCATCGTCAGCAGTCTGGGTGCTACCTGAGGCCTGTCGGGTGCTGTCTGAAACAGAGGATTGTTCTTTTTGATGCAATGTGAGACATTCCATCATGGGTGGCGGTCGCCTCCACAATCACACAGTGATCTGTCAAAACAACAACATTTGAAGCTGTGACGGACACTGACAGACACACAGAGGTGTGTGTGAGAATATGGTCTCTGAACACACACATGTACTAAACAGGCAAACGTTAACCAATAGACACACGCCATGACTGACAGAGGAGAGAATTAAGAGGAGAAGGTCAAAGAAGCAAAGCAGACTTCTAATGCAAGATGTTCTCCTACGTTATCCCTGGACATGGGAGTGACAGTCCAGTCAGGCCCGTCTCAGTGTTTCTGGTTGATGACGGCTAGTGAAACCGCTGTTTAGCTCTTCATTAAGCCGCTGAGGTAAAGTGAACATGACTCCATGGAAACTAGACGACACACACACACACTCGTACCAGGGGTTAATTGTAGCCAACACATATTTGCACGCTTGCTAACAAATCTGGGAAGTAATTGTAAGTTACATGTGGAGCCCAGGCAAATGCTGCTCCACACCGAGCCTAATCAGGAACAATTAAGGGGCCGAGGAAAGTGTGGAGGAATAAAAGTAAATCCATGGAGCGGGGAAAGCAAAATAATGAGAAGAGAGGGAGAGAATATACAGTAGATATGTTGGAGGGGATATTCTTCTATGTGTTACGTCCAACTGTGTGTGTGTGTGTGTGGTATTGTTGGCTGCTGTCAATAAGGGGACTCCAGTGAGCTGGTTGGAGAATAGAGTCAGTATAGAACAGGCAGTCAGAGAGACAAACAGGCAGTCAGAGAGACGTGCTGGTGGTTGGGAGGTTTTTAAAGACTGCATAAGAGAGAGGGGGAGAGAGGGAACGGAAGGACCGAAGCGGAGAGACAAGAGAGAGGGAATGGGAAGACCGAAGCGGAGAGAGAAATAGAGAAAATGTAAGGACCGAGACAGAGAGAACTCAATCCACATGCATTCTCCTCGTAATGTTCTCTCTTTCCAATTCCTTCTCCCTTTCTACATCTCTCTCCCTTTTTACCTCCCACTGATTTAATCCTACTCTCCAGATGAGGGCTTGGTCTCCTCTCAAAGCTCTGCCTTATCTCTCATAGAAATAGATCTCTCTTGCCCTCCTTTATGTGAGTGGATGTGTGTGTGTGTGTTTGTGTGTGTGTTTTGGCAGCATGCCGCTGTAGCCTTATGCCTGCATTGCTCTCTGTGATCGTACTGCTAAATCCCCATGATACAGAAAAATCACTGACTGCAGGTTAGCATGTAGCATCACAACAAAACCAATTCCTGGAGGTAGCTCAGTGGTAAAGTGCATGTTTTATATGCAGGATGTCCTGGGTTCAATCTCCTGCTTTTCGCCGTTGCAAATAAGAACTTATTCTCAATTGGCCTACCCTGTTAAATAAAGGTTAAATAAAAGAAGTATAATTAAATTCCTCTGCTTTGGCTAATTAGCATGTAGCATCACAACCGTGATTCTATAGCACCCACAGCGATTGAACATGTAAACACAGTGAACCAGCAGTGCTAATAGGGTACTTGAGAGAATTGCGCTGTTAAAGTTTAGCATACAATGACTATTCCACAGAGGAAGCGCTGTGAAACAGCCTGGGGGTGTATTGTATGTGCCAAAACTATAAGCCAGTAGAATTGACATTTTTCGAAGGAGGCAGGTCCTTAGTACTCGACTAGAGCTGGAGGTAATGAATAAATCAGGACTTGTGTTGGATTCAATAACTCCAAAACTGTCTCCAAACTGCACTATGACCATTGCTGTATCACATCTACATTGCCTGTGATGGGGTGACCTGCTGTTGGCCTGTTCACCTGTTTTACTCATTATAGTTAGATGGTATACACCTTGGGTTGGCAGTCCTGCTGTTGGCACTTCAGGGTTTTGTTCCTCTTCAGGGCACCAGACCAACTGAGCGAATTGATCAGTTCAGTGATGGACTACATTCAACGCAGCTGGTCTTCAAATTCTAATAAATTGTAGACATGAAGACCGTGTCTGATAATGCGTATGTGCTGTTTATCTACTCTATGTATTTGTATGGTGGAGCCGGTTTCTCCTTGAAGGAAGGATGGCAGTGTTCCTGCCCAGGCAACACATTATTATTAAACACCAACATTGTATAGATAAATCTAAGAGCTGGCGCATAAGATGAAGAAAGCTCAGAATGTGTTTTCTGAACTTTGGGTCAGACTGATGTGAAACGTTTGTAGACAAAAGCTTTAATAATTGTGTACATGCATCCAGAATAGTTCACCTCCCACATGATGATCCACTGAACCATCACGTTTTATAGTCGTTGGGAATTCTTTTCTCAAATTTGCATTTCAACGATGATTTACAATTATCGTTTTTGCTTGTTTTTTGCTTCTGCCAATTACTTTTTTGAGTTTTTGAATTGTAAAGTAGTGCAGTAAAAAATACTACACACGCAACTGGGTGTGGAGTACGCTTCATGGAGCTTTTAAGTTGTGTAGTAATGCAGTAAATAATCCTTGTGACTAAAACGTTCTACAGTGCCCATACCAGGAGATGATGCAGCTCCTCATGATGTTCCACAGTGCCCATACCAGGAGATGATGCAGCTCCTCATGATGTTCTACAGTGTCCATACCAGGAGATGATGCAGCTCCGAATGATGTTCTACAGTGTCCATACCAGGAGATGATGCAGTTCCTCATGATGTTCTACAGTGTCCATACCAGGAGATGATGCAGTTCCTCATGATGTTCCACAGTGCCCATACCAGGAGATGATGCAGTTCCTCATGATGTTCCACAGTGCCCATACCAGGAGATGATGCAGCTCCTCATGATGTTCCACAGTGCCCATACCAGGAGATGATGCAGCTCCTCATGATGTTCTACAGTGTCCATACCAGGAGATGATGCAGCTCCGAATGATGTTCTACAGTGTCCATACCAGGAGATGATGCAGTTCCTCATGATGTTCTACAGTGTCCATACCAGGAGATGATGCAGTTCCTCATGATGTTCCACAGTGCCCATACCAGGAGATGATGCAGCTCCTCATGATGTTCTACAGTGTCCATACCAGGAGATGATGCAGTTCCTCATGATGTTCTACAGTGTCCATACCAGGAGATGATGCAGTTCCTCATGATGTTCTACAGTGTCCATACCAGGAGATGATGCAGCTCCTCATGATGTTCCACAGTGCCCATACCAGGAGATGATGCAGTTCCTCATGACGTTCTACAGTGTCCATACCAGGAGATGATGCAGTTCCTCATGATGTTCTACAGTGTCCATACCCGGAGATGATGCAGCGCCTCATGATGTTGTTGATGTGGTGGTGGTGGTATTTGGAGAGGACCCGCGGTGATGTGTTTATTTAGGGATCAGCACCCTCTTGTCAACACTGGTGATGGAGATGATCCATGGCAGGTCCCAGGCTGCCTGGAATCGGATGGAGTAAATCCGCTCTCTGAGGTGAAGTCTGTACCGAAATATTGGATCGGTCTGTGTTCCTAACTGGATTTTACAACTATTGTTTTACAGAAGAAGAGTGGGAGGTTGTTGTCCTGGCAACATAATAACATGTGTGTGTATTGCGTGTGTGTATTGTGTGTGTGTATTTATTGTGTGTATCTATTGTGGGTGTGTTTGTATTGTGGGTGTGTATGTATTGTGTGTGTGTATGTATTGTATGTGTGTGTATTGCGTGTGTGTATTGTGTGTGTATGTATTGTGTGTGTATGTATTGTGTGTGTGTATGTGTTGTGTGTGTGTGTGTATGTATTGTGTGTGTGTATGTATTGTATGTGTGTGTATTGCGTGTGTGTATTGTGTGTGTATGTATTGTGTGTGTGTATGTATTGTGTGTGTGTATGTATTGTGTGTGTGTGTATGTATTGTGTGTGTGTGTGTGTGTGTGTGTATATTATATTGTGTGTGTATGTATTGTATTGTGTGTGTATGTATTGTACGTGTGTATTGTGTGTGTGTATGTATGTATTGTACGTGTGTATTGTGTGTGTGTATGTATGTATTGTGTGTGTGTATTGTGTGTGTATGTATTGTGTGTGTGTGTATGTATTGTATTGTGTGTGTATGTATTGTATTGTGTGTGTATTGTGTGTGTATTGTGTGCGATGATTTTCATTCTGTATCTTTTGTACTTCTTGTTCTTGCCTTACATGAGTAAACTCTGATGAGTGCCAATAAAGAAGGTTAAGGTCAGACATTACAGTAGTAATGGGATTATGGTTAAAGTTAAGGTTAAGGTAAGGAAAATGTTAGGTTATGGGTTAGGTTAAGGTTATAGGTTAGGTTGAGGTAGGGAAAAGTTTAGGTTATGGGTTAGTTTAAGGTTTTGGGTAAGGTTATGGATAAGGTTAAGGTTATGGGTAAGGTTATGGGTAAGGTTAAGGTTAGGGGTAAGGTTACGGGTTAGGTGACGGGTTAGGTTATGGGTTAGGTTAAGGTTATGGGTTAGGTTAAGGTTATGGGTTAGGTTAAGGTTATGGGTAAGGTTAAGGTTATGGGTAAGGTTAAGGTTATGGGTTAGGTTAAAGTTATGGGTTAGTTTAAGGTTATGGGTTAGTTTAAGGTTATGGGTTAGGTTAAGGTTTTGAATAAGGTTATGGTTAAGAATAAGGTTATGGGTTATGGGTAAGGTTATGGGTAAGGTTATGGGTAAGGTTATGGGTTAGGTTATGGTTAAGGTTATGGGTAAGGTTAAGGTTATAAATAAGGTTATGGGTAACGTTATGGGTTAGGTTATGGGTTAGGTTATGGGGTTAGGTTAAGGTTATGGGTAAGGTTAAGGTTATGTAGCATAGATTTCTGAATGAACTTTGGGCAACAGAGGGTTCCAGTAATTTCACCCCTTGACTCTGTGTTTATTAAATGACCCAGTCTCTCTCCCCTGACTCTGAACTGTGTTTATTAAATGACCCAGTCTCTCTACCCTGACTCTGAACTGTGTTTATTAAATCACCCAGTCTCTCTCCCCTGACTCTGAACTGTGTTTATTAAATGACCCAGTCTCTCTCCCCTGACTCTGTGTTTATTAAATGACCCAGTCTCTCTCCCCTGACTCTGAACTGTGTTTATTTAATGACCCAGTCTCTCTCCCCTGACTCTGTGTTTATTAAATGACCCAGTCTCTCTCCCCTGACTCTGAACTGTTTTTATTAAATGACACAGTCTCTCTCCCTGACTCTGTGTTTATTAAATGACCCAGTCTCTCTCCCCTGACTCTGTGTTTATTAAATGACCCAGTCTCTCTCCCCTGACTCTGTGTTTATTTAATGACCCAGTCTCTCTCCCCTGACTCTGAACTATGTTTATTTAATGACCCAGTCTCTCTCCCCTGACTCTGTGTTTATTAAATGACCCAGTCTCCTTCCCTGACTCTGTGTTTATTTAATGACCCAGTCTCTCTCCCCTGACTCTGTGTTTATTTAATGACCCAGTCTCTCTCCCCTGACTCTGTGTTTATTAAATGACCCAGTCTCTCTCCCCTGACTCTGTGTTTATTAAATGACCCAGTCTCTCTCCCCTGACTCTGTGTTTATTAAATGACCCAGTCTCTCTCCCTGTATGTGTTTATTAAATGACACAGTCTCTCTCCCCTGACTCTGTGTTTATTTAATGACCCAGTCTCTCTCCCCTGACTCTGAACTATGTTTATTTAATGACCCAGTCTCTCTCCCCTGACTCTGTGTTTATTAAATGACCCAGTCTCTCTCCCCTGACTCTGTGTTTATTTAATGACCCAGTCTCTCTCCCCTGACTCTGTGTTTATTAAATGACCCAGTCTCTCTCCCCTGACTCTGTGTTTATTTAATGACCCAGTCTCTCTCCCCTGACTCTGTGTTTATTTAATGACCCAGTCTCTCTCCCCTGACTCTGAACTATGTTTATTTAATGACCCAGTCTCTCTCCCTGACTCTGTGTTTATTAAATGACCCAGTCTCTCTCCCCTGACTCTGTGTTTATTTAATGACCCAGTCTCTCTCCCCTGACTCTGTGTTTATTTAATGACCCAGTCTCTCTCCCCTGACTCTGTGTTTATTTAATGACCCAGTCTCTCTCCCCTGACTCTGTGTTTATTTAATGACCCAGTCTCTCTCCCCTGACTCTGTGTTTATTTAATGACCCAGTCTCTCTCCCCTGACTCTGTGTTTATTTAATGACCCAGTCTCTCTCCCCTGACTCTGTGTTTATTTAATGACCCAGTCTCTCTCCCCTGACTCTGTGTTTATTAAATGACCCAGTCTCTCTCCCCTGACTCTGTGTTTATTAAATGACCCAGTCTCTCTCCCCTGACTCTGTGTTTATTAAATGACCCAGTCTCTCTCCCCTGACTCTGTGTTTAT